AATTTCTTTGTGACAACAATTTACAACAAGATGTCTCAACTACCAATAACGTCATTCCTTATTGCTTTACAAAAGAATAATGATGAGATCATAACATAATATATATATATAGTGACAGCTGTATCATCTTCATTGTACAACATTAAAATACACCGCCATTATAGGTAAAGTGACAGCTGTATCATCTTCATTCTACAACATTAAAATACACCGCCATTATAGGTAAAGTGACAGCTGTATCATCTTCATTCTACAACATTAAAATACACCGCCATTATAGGTAAGGTGACAACTGTATCATCTCTATTGTACAACATTAAAATACACCGCCATTATATGCGGCATGAAAGCTGTATCATCTTCATTCTATAACATTAAAATACACCCCCATTATAGGTAAAGTGACAGCTGTGTCATCTTCATTGTAAAACATTAAAATACACCGCCATTATATGTGGCGTGAAAGCTGTATCATCTTCATTGTAAAACATTAAAATACACTGCCATTATAGGTAAAGTGACAGCTGTATCATCTTCATTGTAAAACATTAAAATACACCGCCATTATATGCGGCGTGAAAGCTGTATCATCTTCATTGTAAAACATTAAAATACACTGCCATTATAGGTAAAGTGACAGCTGTATCATCTTCATTGTAAAACATTAAAATACACCGCCATTATATGCGGCGTGAAAGCTGTATCATCTTCATTGTAAAACATTAAAATACACTGCCATTATAGGTAAAGTGACAGCTGTATCATCTTCATTGTAAAACATTAAAATACATAGTAATTATATGCGGCATGAAAGCAGTTTGGTATAAAGCATTTTGTTTCTGTCTACCATCATTTTTCTGCTCCTTTTATCTACTGTAAATTCCGTAAAGTTGCATTCACAGCATCAGCATGACAGCATCGGGAAATATTTCGATAGGGAAGGCCAGTGTACAATAGCGGCCTGCTGGGACGACTATAACAGCCCAGTGTGTTATCACGCCCTGCAGGGCTACGACTGGGACGATATTTGTTTAAGGTGGTAAACATTTCGATAGAAACTATGATAAAAATCTTAAGACCACGTGCAATATAGATACTCAGCATTGAAAGAAACGTTTTACTTATCCAATAAGGTGCTGTGTTCTGGAAGGGTTTGAGAAAGGTTGTGTTTATCTTCACAGTTTTAATAAAGAGCTGATCTTGAACGTATCTAATACATTCGGGAGGGGGTCCAGTATGCAGAGGTATTAAGGTTGATGTAAACATGTTGTGAACCAAAACATCTTTGTCTTTCAGATCGTTTGGTATGGCATCCCCCCGTCCTGCCTCGGGAATAAATAAAGAGCACAGCATACGTTTCTTTGGCCAGCCTAAACAGAACGAGATTGTTGTCTAGAGAATTCCTATGGAGAAATCATTGATAATAACATACTATATCGCATGACTCCGGCTATGTTACGGAGTTGTCCGTTTTCATATCAGATAAACGTTTCAGGTACTTCGATGTCGGACTGTATCTTAGTTATCAGTGATACTACCTATTCGACATCTTAATGAGTCCGGGATGGCTTACAAATAGGTCTCAAAATCATTTAATGTATTTGAAGCACAGACAGGTAAACATCTGGATCATCTTCTAAACATTAAAGTTAAATATGTTTTTCAGATATAAAATTTTTTCCACTGAACCTAGAGATAACTCCTCATTATTAAGGATGGCGGATCTTGTTCTGATGTGGTCATACATTACATAGAACTAGGGAGCAGGGTGACCAACTATTCCCTAAATTCATAAGATGACAATGTGTTCTTACCTTTTTACACATTTGAATCGACACGGAAAACAATTTGAAAAAATAGTTGACGGAACGTTTTCCTGTTTGTACATTCATACCCTTTTATAAACTTAACATAAGGAGATATATCATGTTTTTTGTTCCCAGTTTAATTTCCAGTTTTTTTTTTTTTTTTTTATCGAATTGAAAACAAATAACGAGGTATAAGTTATCAGAAACGAATTGATTGAGCATTATTTGTATGTTTCTTGCTTTACAGCTATGAATTAATTATCCTGCATGTAACTTTAACCACAAACATTTCATAATAGACAAAAGAATATATTCAAACCTATGACAGGACATTTTCATCAATTTCAGTTCATGCTACTCTTCTCGGAAATATATTTCAAATATATTATTTCATAGCTAAATTTCAAATACTCGGATATCAATTACAGTTTAGGGAGTAAAGAATGATTAATAACTAAACGGTCCGCATGAGCAAATGAACGTGATCGTTATTCTTCTTAAATCCGATCATAGAATTTTGTCCTTTCCATTTTGAAAATTCTGAAAACATGATTGATTCAATATTGATTGTTTGTTACTATGCTAGCTAATTTTGATAGCAGTACGTCCTTGTGCATCTATCATTAATGAAACCCTACGAATAATTGTGGATAACGAGAAAAGTAGAGGAGGCATGTAAGCATATGACAGGTTCCAGCAGTAACAAAGAAAGCACCGGCGAGATATGCGTGGTTAAAGAAAAACAAATATAGACTAAATCTTGTCTGGGAGCCGAAATCAAGGGCCTAATCCATGTCTTCTGAGACAAACTGTCTTTGTCAGTGCAAATTTTGCGATTTATCGTACAATCAATGGAAAAATTCTCAGCGATTCGAAAACGTGAAATGACAGACACGAAACAACTGTATTAACACTGTAAAAGAAATATTGACCAAAGACACACTTTATCTGAAATTGTACTGACTGTAGAAATACCTATCTGTAAACACCACAACATTAGACTCTTGCAGACGACAGAGAGACAGTATGACCTGTACTCCGGCGACTGGAGAATGTAACAAAGGCTTATATAATGACAGGAACGTCACTTGTGTTACAGCAATGTAGCGACATGTAGGGATGTGTATTGACAGAAACACCAATCATGCAATATCATTGTAAAAATGGAAATTGTATGGAAAGTACAACAATCATATAACGCTGACAGGAACAACACTATCATATCAATATTGTAACTAGGCATCTGTACTGACGGAAGTGACAATTACAATGATTGTATCGCCATAGTAACTTGGATTTTGTACTGACAGAAAAAAACAAATTATAATTGTCATATCGCCATGGTAACTTGGAATTTGTACTGACAGAAACAATATAAATGTCATATCGCCATGGTAACCTGGAAGTTGCACTGGCAGAAACAACAATTATAATTGTCACATCGCCATGGTAACTGGATTTGTACTGACAGAAACAACAATTATATTTATTATATACCGTCGCTGTAACTTGGAAGTTGTAGCGAGTAGAGCGACATTTGATTTCCATCGTAAAAGTTGCATAGACAGAAAATCGTATACCAATATTGCAACCTAGGGAATGACTAATCGTCTGAATAGCAACAAAGAACCGGCAATGAAAGAAATAAAAAGTATATGTCAACATTACTACATAGGAGGGATACTTGCCAACTAACATTGTTACCTGAGACTTCTAATGATGGGATGTATACATGTTTTCTAATGTTGAAAAACTTGTGCCCTGATAATACAAAAGACTCGCATTAACAGGATATAAGCTTGTATTATTAAATTGATACAAGATACTTTTACCCAAGGGAGATAAATTTGCGCACTGGCATTGGGCTGGATAAAAGGGACTCATATTGTCGGGATATTAACTAACATTAATACTTGTAATGACGAGAAATAAACATGTGCTCTGATACTGGTACAAGAGACTAGACGGCATGTTAACTTGTGAACAAAAACTGATATAAGACACTTGTACCGACAGGATATTACCTTGTGTACTTACATTAGTACATTATACTTGTACTGACAAGAGATAAACTTGTGCTCTAACATTAGGATAGTAATACTGCAATACAACAGGAACCAACGTGGCCCCAATAAATTTGACCATACACATGTAATGTAACCAGGAAGCATTTATCATAGAATCCTTGAAAATAGTAATTATTTTTCATACTACATTGTATGTAGAATCAGAGCCACAACTCTGCAACAATATCCGTATGAGCTGGACAACGAGCTTGTTTACCAGGTTTTCTCTCCGGCATATAAAGCATATACAGGTATATAACGGATGGAAACGTTGTCGGTAAGTTACAAATAAAAACAACACTGTCTCAACAGTTGTAAAACAAACAAGTAATACACACTGTCTGCTGTAAAGGGAAAACGTCAAACAAAACTAGGTATGACTTGTGTTCGTACGTAATCACAAAAAGTTACGAGAAGAGAGAACCGTACAATTTGGTCTCCCCTTGAGATGTGATTTTTCATTGTAGTCGGCGTCTGTAAATTAGTGGCTGTGTTGGCAAAATTACATAGTAACAATGGAATGACGACCACAGACTTGTGTAAGGATGGGGTCATGAAATGTCTATGCTTAATCAATATTACAAAATTGCACTTTAGGCATGTGATGATGCTATTTATTACATTTCAAGAGTCCATGTTGTTAATTGAGAGACATTTGCAGTATGTGATTTACAGAAATCAAGTTAAATACTTCAATGATAACGAATCTTACTAGAAGGCGATGATATTGTTCATCATTATCACCCATCTTTAATTAGTTTCCCTAAACAATGTAAGGAATTTCAAAGGAACATTTTTATATTAATACCATGTTAAAATTATTTAAAATCAAACTGGAAAATTATCTATTTGCAATTGATTTGAATCGATATTTTCGTTTTCAGAAAATGTTTCTACGAATTAAAAACCAAAAGTACAATGATCCGCTATTTTGTCGAAGTTGACGAAAATCATGCATTGACAACACGCTGTCTTTCAAGCTGTGTTCTAAATATAATGTAACGAACTATCATCACAATGGATGAAACGAAGTAATTTAAAAACGAAATATTGTTCTCTAATAAAAGCAGATATTGTCTTAATGTGATAAAATACAAACACAACAATACGAAAATTTTCTATTTACCGTGTTTACATCCGAAGAGGATACAGACAGGAACAATGTAGATCCAGGTCTTGTTCATCCTGCATCCTTCTCACCACCACACAGAGAGAAAATCTTCAAACTTTTTATCGCAAGTAAATCCCAGAGACATAAACAAACATCCTGGTGGTGTTGTCACTGTACAGAAGACTCAATGTCAAGGCGAACTTTCGGACACCAGGGATTGATCACACCGTCGTTGCCATAGTTTTAGTGAAGCCTATACTAAAATGAACCAATACCTCGAACCGTATACTCCTTCCGGTTTTCGAACTGAAGCTACGGAAATGGATATGTGACTGTCTCGCGCGAGTGTAGATTGAGGGCTAAGACAGAAGGAGCGTGTCCCTCTCGGGGCGGTGTCGTGAAACTGAGATAGATCAATGGCAGGGACGAAGCACTACCACACCGGGAGAGCGGCTTCCACGATCGATCCTACACTACTCTATTAATAATGAAAGCATTTCCACCTGTTGATTTGCGATTCGGGCAAGAGCATGCAAGACATCACTACACACACGTGGTTTGTATCCTTGGGTCATTTACATCCTCTTCTAGTGCCCTTATCTGACACCCATTCTCACTCTAGCGAGAAGTCAGTGGTGTGGCAAGATTGCGTCGTTAGAGAACGATAGGTATATTTAACGATAATTTGCTGCTGGGCTCTATCCCAACGATATCACGAGAGGATACAAATCGTGGCAGTATAAAATCTAGTAGTATTGTTGCTATTGCGTTCATACATGTAAGTATACCCACTATTGCCATCAATCACCGTTGATATTTCGTTGGCAATGTACACACATTCCTTAGCCGTAATGATATGGAAATTTATGATTCGTTAAGAGAAAAGGTATTAGCAATTAAGTGGATAATGCGTATTTCGTGTTCATGGCCATACTTAAAAGTTTGGCACTTTGCTTATTTTCCCATAAGAAATTTTATGTGATACATTTTAACTTGTCAAGGTTGGATGCTGTTGGTATATTGGTATTTCATAGCGAACTGCATACCACACACCTGAAATACATTCTGCACGTGTATATATGGGCTTGTGTCAAGCTAGTAACTGCGGGGCGTCATTCCCTGTGTGTTATACGGCGTGGTTGCAAAACACAACACGGATACTTGTACGATCAATTCATTACGAATTAATCGATGATAAAAAGAAGAAGTTGAGCCGGAGGTAAGTGCGGATTGTATCGCGCAATACTCAACACCAATGTACACATTGATTTTATATATCGCCATAATACCTCACGCCCTCGGCAGTCTTAGATTGTGTCACTGGCAGCGCGGAGTTAGCCTAGGTAGCTTGAACACGGACATGAACACGGACGTAGTTAAGGTAGCATGAACACGGACGTAGACTAAGTAGCATGAACATGGACGTAGACTAAGTAGCATGAACATGGACGTAGACTAAGTAGCATGAACACGGACATGAACACGGACGTAGACTAAGTAGCATGAACACGGACGTAGACTAAGTAGCATGAACATGGACGTAAACTAAGTAGCATGAACATGGACGTAGACTAAGTAGCATGAACACGGACATGAACACGGACGTAGAATAAGTAGCATAAACACGGACGTAGATAATGTAGCATGAACGCGGATGTAGACTAAGTAGCATGAACACGGATGTAGAATAAGTGGCATGAACATGGACGTAGACTAAGTAACATGAACACGGACATGAACACGGACGTAGAATAAGTAGCATAAACACGGACGTAGATAATGTAGCATGAACGCGGATGTAGACTAAGTAGCATAAACACGGACATGAACATGGACGTAGATAAGGTAGCATGAACGCGGATGTAGACTAAATAGCATGGACACGGATGTAGACTAAGTAGCATGAACACGGATGTAGAATAAGTGGCATGAACATGGACGTAGACTAAGTAGCATGAACACGGATGTAGACTAAGTAACATGAACACGGACGTTACCTATATAGCATAAACAAAGACGTAGACTACGTAACATGAACACAGATGTAACCGTGGTAACTTTAACACGGGTTAACTTTGACGGTTTAGGTACGGATGTAGTTGAATGCATCGTTTGGCTTCACTGCATTTAACTCTAAATGCTATAAAATGTGCTATATACTTGTGTTTCTTTTGACAATCATCGGTAAAAGGAACACAGATATAGGATGTATCCTTAGTAGATTGAACACGGATGTAGCTAAGCAGCTGAATCACGGAGGTAGTACCGGTGTCTTTAATACGGACGTAGCTTAAAAAAAGATGTAAGACAAGGATGTAGTCGAGGTAATGTGAACACGTACGTAATCAAGGTAGCTCGAACACTGAGGTTGCTAAGGTAGCATGAATAAGGCTGTAGTCTCGGCAGTTTAAACACAAAGCTTTGGTAGTTCGAATATGAACATATCCTAGGTAACTATTTCGCACAGAGCGTTGGTAGCATGAACATTGGAGTAACCTTAGTAGGTTAAACATGGGCGTAGTAGCCTTTGTAGCTTAGACATGGGCGTGACCTTGGCAGAATGAACAGGGGCGTAGCCTTAGTAGCATGAAATCGGACATAGCATTAGTAGCATGAACATGGGCGAAACCTTAGTAGCATGAACATGGGCGAAACCTTAGTAGCATGAACATGGGCGTAACCTTAGTAGCATGAACATGTGCGTAACCTTAGTAGCATGAACATGTGCGTAACCTTAGTAGCATGAACATGGGCGTGACCTTAGTAGCATGAACATGTGCGTAACCTTAGTAGCATGAACATGTGCGTAACCTTAGTAGCATGAACATGGGCGTGACCTAAGTAGTATGAACATGGACGTGACCTTAGTAGCATGAACATGGGCGTAACCTTAGTAGTATGAACATGTGCGTAACCTTAGTAGCATGAACATGGGCGTGACCTAAGTAGTATGAACATGGACGTGGCCTTAGTAGCATGAACATGGGCGTAACCTTAGTAGCTTAAACAAACCATACCATATATCTTTAAGTAATCAGCCATCCCCTCATAAATTAATTATATCTGTCATTTTGTTTATTCTAATTAAATACCGTTATTATGCTAAACCCGTAAATAAGGATGATTTATGTCGGACCGCTAACAAGTACAACCCATTACAGGACAGCGTGGCTTTAAATAGCACGATTAAGACAGAGGCATAAAATCTGGCATCTAAACAATCAGCACAATGTGTCTTGTTCTCAGCACCAATCGGTAACGGGACTACACCGATAACATTAATCCATGTTGGGATCAATTTACTTCCCTTACCCATTCACTATTTCAAACAAAATACATTTCTCTATTAATATTTTATGTGTGTGTTTCTGTTACAGGCCATAAAATATAATATGTGTTTTCTTGTGTAAATGTTATTGACCATGGAATCTTTATCTGACATGTGTCATGAAATAAACTGCTTATTCAATTACCGAACGGTTTTGTTGTGGGATGTATTCTAGGGTCTATATTTGTAATTCTTAATTTAGATTATAAAGTGATATTCAAGAGTTCTTTTGTACAATCTACGGGTTCATATACACTTACTACATGTTTTTAAGGGCAGTGTTCATTCTTTCAATAAATGCGTGTGCAATAGGACATTTCCTCGATATAAACATTGGATAGCACCAAGTGATATCCATACTAATATGGTAGCAATACTAGGGAATGGTGCCCCTTCATATGCTACAGTTAAAAGGTTGTTGTGGAATTTAAGCGTGGCAGGCAGAGCCTTGGGGATGACGCCTACACAGGAAGGTCTGTCACAATTGCAATGTTGATATGGCCAATAAAGTCCATGATATTGTTTTGGCTGACAAGCAAGTTACAAAGAGATATATAACCAGTACAATTGGGAATTCACAGAAAAGAGTACATTCTATTCCTACGGAAGATCTTGCAATAAGAAAGCTATCAGCCCGTTGGGTACCAATACTTCTGAAAGTTGATCAGAAGCACGCCGAGCGGACTTAAATAAACGTTTTAGAGGCAGATTCTGTTAAATTTCTGCATAGGTTTGTGACTATGGATGAAACGCGGGTCCATCATTTCATCCCAGATGCCAAACAACCGTCTAAACAATGAAGGCACCCTAGTTCATCCCCGCCAGAGAATATTGGTTCCATCAGCTGGTAAGGTTATGATCTCACTTATCTGGAATGCTGATGGCATCTGATGGTAGATTACCTACAAAAGGGACAAACAATCAATGACATATATTATGCATCACTTCATGGGAAGTTAAGAAAACAAATTAAACTAAAGAGCCACTGAAATCATAGTGAAGGTATGATGTTCCACAAGGACAATGCCCTGCTCACAAGTCTGTCATTGCCATGGCTGCCATTGACGACTGTGGCTATGAAATGCTTGAACACCCGCCTGATCTTTCTCCATCAGACTTACATCTATTTCCAAAATTGAAAGAGGTCATTTCTGATACCCGCTTTAGGTCAGATGATGACGTTATATATGCAGTAGAGGACTCTCTGAACGGTAAAGAAAATGACTTCTTTAAAAGTGGCATTGAAGCCCTTAAACATCGCTGGCAAAAGTTTATAGATACTAAAGGGGATTATGTTTAAAAATAATACAATATGTCCGCCAAACGTCAAACCCTTTAAATATGAAGCTTACAATTTATCGATCAGCCCTCGTTTCAATGTCGAAGATAATATCAATAACAAGCTTACGTTATTGACACTTAAACATTAGTATGCTTATTCGAGCATGTTTACTGTGTATGCTTATTTCCACATGGAGATCGTATAATTCTTCATGTAGGCTTATAAACGTCTTGATGCTATTTATATTACAGAGTGTTTTATCTGTCGTAAGCCTACTAGCCCCAAGGGGTATTGTAACCTTGCAATTTGAATGTATGCTAGCACATGTGAAATATTGAATTATTTATTGTAGCTAAAAGTTCCAAAAAGAATTTTACTCTGTCGACCTTTACTACTGCTGCGAATTCCTAAATTAACTAAATGGTCGTGTGGTGTTTTTAAAAGGTACTTATCTTTTATCGTTACACTTGTGTTCACTCAGCACGTGGTTTCCGAGTCCATGGAGAGTTCCGTAATCTTTTGCAGCTGGTTAAATGTCAATCTTTAGAGGTTTACCGTAACCTTGTACCTGCATTAACAAACCCATTGTATTCCTGTTGCAAAAAAATCTACAACATGTTATATCGTATATGTATGGATGTTTTCTGGTTTTTGGGTGTTTATATATATATATAATTTTTAATGTTGATTATTGTGATTAATTAAAATGCATATAGTATTTTGCAAAGAAGATTTTTTTCTTTAATTCAATAAATATTGTAACCTCTGTATTGCTGCAACTATCTGTATGATCTTGAAGAAACCAATATGTTATAAAACATGATACATCTATTTAATTTTCCCCTTACCCTGATGACCTAAATGTAGTATTAAGAGAGCGCTGAATTTCCACTAATTGGTCGCAATTATTAGTTGTGAAATATCAGTTACCAGCTGAGTGCTCTTAAATCATGTTTTCATCTCTACTAAACCAATTACTTTTTGATTAAGGCGGATGTTCTCTTTACTTTCCCTTCTTAGTTTTTCTTAAAGTGTA